TCCATACGCGGAATATGATAAGGAGATAAGGTATATTGTATAATATGTGTGTNTAGTACAGTATTTTTATTACTCTTTCATATATTTAATAATCATATATATGAGGTTATTTTGTATGTATATTCAGTATTTAGTATTATAATCAACACTTCAGATATAACATTTCAGATATAAAGTTGTTATTATAAACACGATAAAGATAAAGTTTATTTTGTATGTATATTCAGTATTTACTATTATTGTTAACACTTCAGATATAACATTTCAGATATAACATTGTTATTATAAACACAATAAGATAAAGTTTATTTTGTATGTGGGTTCAGTATTTACTATTATTGTTAACACTTCAGATATAACATTTCAGATATAACATTGTTATTATAAACACAATAAGATAAAGTTTATTTTGTATGTGGGTTCAGTATTTACTATTATTGTTAACACTTCAGATATAACATTTCAGATATAACATTGTTATTATAAACACGATAAGATAAAGTTTATTTTGTATGTGGGTTCAGTATTTACTATTATTGTTAACACTTCAGATATAACATTTCAGATATAACATTATTATTATAAACACGATAAGATAAAGTTTATTTTGTATGTGGGTTCAGTATTTACTATTATTGTTAACACTTCAGATATAACATTTCAGATATGAAATTATTATTATAAACACAATAAGATAAAGTTTATTTTGTATGTGGGTTCAGTATTTAGTATTATTGTTAACACTTCAGATATAACATTTCAGATATAACATTGTTATTATAAACACAATAAGATAAAGTTTATTTTGTATGTAGGTTCAGTATTTACTATTATTGTTAACACTTCAGATATAACATTTCAGATATAAATTGTTATTATAAACACAATAAGATAAAGTTTATTTTGTATGTATATTCAGTATTTACTATTATTGTTAACACTTCAGATATAACATTTCAGATATAACATTGTTATTATAAACACAATAAGATAAAGTTTATTTTGTATGTGGGTTCAGTATTTACTATTATTGTTAACACTTCAGATATAACATTTCAGATATGAAATTGTCATTATAAACACAATAAGATAAAGTTTATTTTGTATGTGGGTTCAGTATTTACTATTATTGTTAACACTTCAGATATAACATTTCAGATATGAAATTGTTATTATAAACACAATAAGATAAAGTTTATTTTGTATGTATATTCAGTATTTACTATTATTGTTAACACTTCAGATATAACATTTCAGATATAACATTGTTATTATAAACACAATAAGATAAAGTTTATTTTGTATGTGGGTTCAGTATTTACTATTATTGTTAACACTTCAGATATAACATTTCAGATATAACATTGTTATTATAAACACAATAAGATAAAGTTTATTTTGTATGTGGGTTCAGTATTTACTATTATTGTTAACACTTCAGATATAACATTTCAGATATGAAATTGTTATTATAAACAATAAAGATAAAGTTTATTTTTTATGTGTATTCAGTATTTAGTGATTAGGGTGATTGAAGAGTAACAAGTTACTATTCAATATAAGGCCCTGGCACAGTTATTTAGTGTTTGTATGTTCAGTATTTATTATTATTTTCAACACTTCATTATGTCTATTTCAGATATTTAAATATTACAAAATGATCAGAAATAAAGTTATTTTGTATATGTGTTCAGTATTTATTGGTATTGAAGTTATTTTATTGGTTGAACAACAATTGATAATGATACAACGTGGTAAGTGCTTGATTCAACACATCATTTGCAAAAAAAAAAAAAAAAAAAAAAAAAAAAAAAAAAACCACAAACCTCAAAATCTTCATTAAAATGGATAACGTTCCTAAATTGCCAAATCATTCATTGAATCGGGAGGGCAGAAAAAGACTGAATATCTCCATACAATTCTCGTATATTAATTGAAGGGTCTTTGCATTTGGATAATATGATTCATTTCCAGTTTTAATTCCAATAAAAACTCAATTCCAATCCTTTATCTTGTATTCATTGTAGATGCTGTTCAAGGCTCAATTGTTAAAGTAAGCTTGAAATCAAGAAATGAGTATATAATTTATGATTAAAAATTCTCTATATAAAATTAATTTTGACTATAGAAATTGCATTGTTCTCTGTGGCTTTCAATATCCTTATTAGATTTTTGAGAATGTGGCCTCTGTCTACATGGACGCAAGAGTGAAAATAGATAAGTAACTCTTGGTATTCCATACTTCTTTCTTTAGTTGTCCATGGAATGTAAGTATTTTGTGATATCCTATGTCTCTTTCGCAATTAATCAAAAAAGAACAAGATTAAAGGGACAGATGCGCTAATCTAATCGTACCTTAGTCTCAGCAATGAAAATTGTTTTATCTAAGCCAATAGTGTTCACAGCTAACAGTTGATATTTGATCCATCAAATCCTTGGAACATAGTACGTACCCTTATAATGTCTAAACGGGCCCTTTTTAAATCTTTTCCAGCAACAAACAACTCCTGTCGTGGGCACCAATGGAAATTTAAGTATGCTAAGAAAGACAACTCTTACCATTCCAAAATATTTTGTACCAGAGACTCTTGTGGCGAAAAGCATTCAGCAATTGAAAAGGGAAAATATCACTATGCTTTCGAGACCAACTATGAAATATCCCTGGGCCAGTGAAAGACTAACAGATTTTGGAAAGAAGATTACTGAAAGACAAAAAAAGGGTATAGATACCGAAAATCTGCATACTATGCATTTAAAACGACCACACTTTTCAAAAAGTGCAAGAGCAAAGCGAAGATTGGATCGAATACAGCATTATTGTGAAGTGAACAATGTAGAGGGGAAAGTTGAAAGAGTAATTGTAAATCCACAGAAAACAGTTTCTTATTGCATATCTCACAAAGTCGCTTCGACACATTGGTTACGGGTATTTAGGTATTTATGGAACGACACCTCTACAGGGAGTGTTTCAAGTCCGTCAAAAATATCCAAGATTGAGGCTCACTTTTCTCGAACATCTAAAATTAAAGAGTTTTCGTTTATAGAACCGAAGGCAAAGGATTTCATCCTGAATACTTCACGGTTTATGTTCGTTAGAGAACCGTACATCCGTTTGTGGTCTGTGTTCATTGATAAGTTTGTGTTAGCAGATAATTATTTTTGGTCGTATCATGGTCCCCAGATTGCTAAAGTGAATGACTTAAAAGTTCTACCAGCAAGACGGCCGTGTTATCATTTCAGTTTTAATCACTTTATAAATTATGTGATATCATCCTCAAAAAGCTACAACACCATGGACGACCATATGAAACCAATTTCTAGATTGTGCAACCCGTGTTTGCTGAAACCAGATTTTGTGGGAAAAGTGGAAACAATGAAGAATGACAATGAAGAGGTATTAAGAGTGCTTGATGTAAATTGGGAAGGTGATAAAGATTCGGTTATCAGTGATCGAATCTATGACGAAATGAAAACCGTTATAGATTTCAACTATTATATCGTACATACCCTCAAATTATTAACAGCGTGCTTAAATACAGTAAGCGTGGGAGAAAGAATATTGAGTGCTTTCGTATTAAATGGATATATACCAGAAAGTGCCGATAAGCAGCTTCGCGAAAATATGCCGTCAACGAAAGAAAAACTTTTGAACATGATGTGGAAAGCATACCAATCTTCAAATAGAACACATAAAAGCGTCAATGAACAAAGGAATCGGCTGAGGAGAAAGGCCTTTCAACTCATTCCTTTAGATTCCCTCCATGAACTTCAGCGCATCTATTATGATGATTTCAATTTGTTTGATTATCGCCTTGATCCGCCTGAAATATTTTACAATAAATCCGTTTCTTAAGATAGGTATTGTTGAAATAGGATTTAGTTCATTCAGTGCGACATGAGTACGTTGATTCAGGAGCAAAATAGTAACAAACGGCTTTACCTGGGCATTCAATTTAGCACCATCATGCTATACATCGTGTTTTGCATAAGAGGCAGCGAGATCAGAATCTGATACATCTGATATATTTGGTTTTTCTCATTGCGAACTGTGAATTGATCATTCACAGTGTATTGTTCATCGCCACTTTTTTCTGCACATAACAGTAATTAGTGTTGCTGAATTTTCATTTGGCCTTTGCTTTCTTAATATCGATTATGTATTGTTTTTACAACCACTTTCACCTACAAGATAGTTGTGATTTTGTTAACCTCTCCATCTAAAATTCTGATGTAGAGCTTTACAGAGCTTTACATATTAAGACACGGGCTCAATTCCTCGGATCTTTACTTTTCATTCCATCTAATTCCCGTTTTTTTTTTTTTTTTATATAACAATCTAGTGATTATCATGTACAAGTATTTCGTCATTATGTGAACAATTCACACTAACAACTTGTCACGTGTGGTGTAAATACCAATAAATACAATACTGTACAAAAAACTGGTACCATTGTAAAAATGTGATCATTATTTATATTATAACTCAATTTCACCAACATACATTGCCACTAAAAGTATAATGAAAAATCCTAGAACAAGACCAATAGTTTGAAATAATGATATAAAAAATGGACTGGAATGCTTTTCGATGGCCAGTTCAGCTGCCATGCTCATTTCTGGAAGCTGTAATGAAAAATAAAAAAAAAACAGATTTTTTTGTGAATAAGTGAATTTACTATTTTCAAATAACTAAATCAGCCAATTAAAGAAACGGGTTCACCTTTTTTCTTGGATTGATTTGGGTCTTGAATAAATTTAAGTAGTCTTCAGAAGTAGGCCTACTAGAACAACCATCACATTATTCCTTCAAAAATACTTCAAAAAATTTTATTTCTATATATGTCTTTTCTATATATGGCAAAATGTCAAGAAAAGACGACTCGTCTTTTTAAAAGTCAAACGTAGATAACTCTGGACACACGAGGAGGTGAAGGCTCTAATTTCGACTTCGAGCTGAGAACACTTTTCCTTGACTAAAACATTCCCGTTTCTGAGACTAAAGTATATGTCTGTAATTGTCTGTGGTATTCACCATCAGATAATTGTACATCAGACCTGGTACTTTTCTGTTGATATTATATTTTTAGTTTTCTGTATATAAATCAAAATTGCTGGCGCATTCGTAGAATACATCTTTCGATCTATATGAAAACAGATCGAATGGAATTGAGCTTTGAAATGAATCGTGTGATATATTCTACTCAGACGCCCTAGAAGCCCTGAAAAAGGCTGGGTCATAGTCAGGAAGTTTTGGACTAGAGTACAGTATGTAAACACCATAGCGATTACCAGTTGCGAAAAATGAAAGTTGCATGAGAATTGCGTTCAAAACTCATGACCACTATTCTTATTCGCAACTGCTGGTCGCTATTTTGTGAGGGTTACTTGAAATACAATATAATTACCATGTCTACAAGAGCTACATATAAAAATATTCCAGCCGCAAAGGCAAATATCCATTGATTAGCGGTGGTTGTTTCCCCTAGTATAATACCAACAGCCACACCAAAAAAACAAAATATTGCCGCTATTGAATTGTATAATAAAGCTCTTTTAATAGAGAGACCAGCATGTAGCAACATAGCGATATCCCCTGAAAAAATACAACACATCAATATGTAAAGGCGTAGCAATTATTCGGACAAAAATCATGGTAGGTAGCTTACTCTCTTTGTAGACGATCGAGGCAAAATAGTAAAAAGCAATTTGGCTATCTGTATTTCTTTTGATTTGTATGCATTACGAAAACTAGCAATGTTTAAGCTAACCTTTGTTGTTCTTAAAATTTAACAGCAAGATACCCTTCTGATTAAACTTTCAGATAAGTTAACGGGTACATTTTGGTCTACATTTTTCATTAATTTGAACATCTCAACTAATTAAAAACCCCGACTGCTCTTTAAATTAAGATTCTCTACTGCCGAAATGATGATCAAATAGTTTAATGACGGAATAAATACTGAAGATGTAACCATATCAGCTTTAAGTTATTTGTAATTATGGACCAGAATATCCCATTCTGAAGCATGATACAGCTCTATGAACTGAAAGTGGAATATAATTTAATAATCACTATATCTCTACTTATATTTCTATTAGCAGAATCATACCTATTTCATGAGCGATTTCCTCACAAATCATGGACAAACCAACAGTCATTCCAGTCAGTAGATTATCTGAGAAGGCTGCACCTACTGACAAACCATCAACAAACTTGTGTAGACCATCACCAACTACTATCATATAGGCTACCGATGAAACTGATGGTTGACTCCCGTCCTCTAGTAGTGGAAGGGCATGAATGTGACCATGGTCATTTTGTGTTGGGGTACTCTGCCCGGATTCTTCACCACTGTCTCCTGATGATGAAATCAGTGTGTCCTCACTCACTATTATTGCTACTGATTTCTTTTTCTGAAACACGTATAGCAATTATGTGTTAATGCCACATCTAGGAAGACTTAGTAGTAGCACAAAAAGGACACGCACCAGAGTTGCGTTTTGCATTAGCCAATGCTTTTATGAATACATTTCGTTTGATGAAGGCTTCTTGAACATTCGTCAGTTTGATGACACGACCAGTCAATCAATTTCCTCTTCTCTCAAAGGCGCTGGGATTTTGTCACATTGGATTTGAGAGGGTGAGAATTAGATTAGGCCCTAATTGAAGTGGCTATATCAAAATTAAATGCTATTAAAAAACGGAACGAAAGATTGGTCTTAAGAACGTCTAGGCGATATTTTTATGTCATTCCCTTCAACGTGCATCACTGAAATGGAATAGCAGTGTAAAATATCCGACGGTACCATCTCTACCTATGTAGCTGCAATCTCACCAATGAGAAAACGCTGATGAACCTAAACCACCAAGACTCCGGGTTCTTGTCAGAAAAAAAAAACAGATGGTTCATTTGATGAACTTTTTCATACTTTCACATTTTAGCTCTTAAATTTTTTCGTAAGTATTCTGAAAATATTATTTCATATTGTAATTACTGGACTATCCTCCTGTAATATTTTTAACATGCTGTACCCGAAGTTAAATTCCCTAATGTACATAACACATATAAATATTATATATTTGTTTATTAATATCACTAAGATCATCCACATTTATATTTCATCAAGAACTGTCCATTACATTACACGTTTAAGATATATGGGAAACAACTCCCTTATATTTGAAATTTGAAGTTACTATAATTTGTTTTATAAAACTCTTAACCTCTTTACTAGCAGTTATTCAGGTTTGAAGAGAGAAAGTGTCCAACATCATATGTCATAATCGATTATCGTTTTCATTGTAGTAATAATATATCCAGCCCCGTCGCCAGGAATGAATTGGTGCTGGGTGCTGTAGTCAGATAAATGGAAGAAGTAACGCCCACAGAATTCATTTATGACAATTTTGAAGGGTGTCAAGAACGTATCAACAACTATATTTTTTGGTTTTTTTCTGTATCCATTGTAATAACTAGTGGAGCTAATTTAGGGGGGGGGGGGGGAGCTTACCTGTCTACGTTTCGCCAGAAATCTAATCATTCGCTCTGATAAAAAGAAAAACAGCAGAGCACCACATGCAGTTGACATTTTGGCTATGTATGTTTCATTAAGTTCTTCATACGCCACGAGATCTAGTGCCTTAAAAACATAATCATGAAGAAATATTGCTCAACAGATTTCTGCAAAAATTGCCTCAAAGATTCAAACAGGGTTCTCATGGGTCATAGAAAACCTAGATAATCAGGGAAATCATAATAAACCCTTAATTAGCTGTTGTAAGTCTTGAAATTCTTAATATTTCTATTGTTTACATTTGGAAATTGAAACATAGTTATCTCCCTTGATCTAAGCAAGATAATTCTGACCTATATCTATCAAAACATTGTAAATTCTGTCAGAATACCCCTCTTAGAGTATGTTATGAATTTCTTACCTAAATCAAGAAAGTTTTTAATTGATACAGATATTCCTATGTGTAAAAACAAACTTATATTAAAAAAAACCCAATAACCTTCCGTGAACTGTGTTTGACCTAAGTTATTGTATTTGTTTCTTCCCAGAATTACCTCCCTTAAAGTTGAAACCAAATGAAGTTGCGCAACAGATTTAAATACAATTTTATTCAAACGAGAGGACCTAGGCTACTGGGGTGATGAAATTTTATACCACAAAATGGCAGTCCGGAATTGATTCAAAAAGATCCATTATTTTACATAAAAATTTGTGATGGTATATGATTAAATTCTGGAGAAGTCAGGGGAAATTTGTTCAGATAACTTGTATTAATCCCGAAGATAAGTCAAGATAACCTGTTTAAACCCTGAAGATAAGTCAAAGATATGCATATCAGAAAGGAAGGGTCCATGGATTCTACTCTCTGATAACAAAAGATCACATAATTTTTTATTTAGCAAATCTATTTCCTTAACATTGTTTCTACACTCTGCAGTGCAAAATTTGAAAATCACCAAAGCCACCTTCAGGGCGGCAGATTAATGCTCAATAAAATTTAATGTTTACCTCTGGTATTAGAACCAATAATGCCGTAGCAGTAAGAGTTCCCACTGCCATAGCAACCAAAAACATCAGAACCTGGTCAAATAACTTCACTCCCATAAACGGTGCTAAAAACGCCCCAAGATTAGAAATGATGAATATAAGTATAGCAAAACCAATTCCATATCCCCACACTGCAAATAGAAATACGTAAGTTGTTATAGAAATGTAACAGAAAAAATGCCTCATTCACCTTAAATATACAAAAAAAAATGAATTGCGTTTGAGCAGAATGGTTCGTGATCCATTGATAATTCTCTGAACATTGCAGAAACCTAGGATTGTACTGAATTTTCATTAAGAAAGGAGTATTTGCCTCCGACCACATAACAGATAATAACAGAACTATATACAGGAAAAGTTTTTAAATGTCCCAAGAAAAGACGAGCCGACAATGTAACTTTCAAACGCAGACAATTGTGAATAAAAGATGTATAAGAAGGCTAGAATTTCCACGGTGAACTGTAACACAATTAGTGGTTAGCTTAGCTAAAGAAATATGGATGTCAATCGTATTCAGAATTAGATGCTATGTACATATGTCTAATACATACGACACGATACAACTGTGCAATGTTCAAAGACAAAATACGTCTTTTATACGTCTAATTCATAATGAAAATGTTAAATTACATAAAACCACAGACACAATGGTGCGTGGATTGCGTATGTTGAAACTTATACACGTTGACAAAATGTGTTCGATTCTCTTACCTACACCCAAGGCTGGCCTGTCACCACGTCTCGCATGACTAGGTTCTGTTATATTTCTACATTGTTGAAGATTGACAATTATGGAAGGCATTATTTTCTCCAAAACTAGTGTTGTAATTTCGGAATTCATCTCATGCATATTGAAGAGCTCGATTGCTGTCAGACACTTGGAAAATCAAAATAATTAAAGTAGGTTGGATAAGAACAAATCAATTAATCCCGTTATGCCTGTCTTCTAGACACCCGATATCACTCTTCATTATAAAATATGATATGAAGTTTTACGACCCACTGTTCTGCTCATTTTTTGTAAGTTCCTATTTATTAAAAAGCAAAGATTTTGCCACCTCGCATGAACTTTATCGCGGTTATATGTTGAAATTGAGGGTACCATAATCAGCCACATACTGTCCAAATCACTTAAGAAGACGGACGTGATGTTGCACCGCCATTCACATTCATAGATATATATTTTGAAGTTGAAACATTGCTGAATTCTTACCGAAATGTTTTGTTCATGAGCATCATAATCCGGCTTTATTTCCTGATGAACATTCAGTGCGTTTCGAGATTCATGAACCATTTGTGAGGAATGACCAATACAACTCAAGTCATGGTACAACCTCAGAAATTGTTTTTCATTTAGATATCCATCGTCACTACAATACAATATGATGTACTTTTTTGTGAAACATGATCAATTTTTTAAAATCTACATTTAAACCTATGGTTACATAATAGGCTACGCAAGAGGTACTTCGGATAGCATTAATGTCACCAGGTCAAAGTTGAAAAGGTTGCAAGATTATTCGTCGCATGATGTAACCGACAGAAAATAAATAAAAAATATTTTTTAAGATGTATTTTAGCAATTCGGATTGAAAACAGTATTACCAGTATTTGGCATAATCAAGAGAAGAGAATGCTGATTTTTAGCGAAAAGCTGTGCTATTATTATTGTGAGATGTTTTTTTTGTAAAGTTGGAAACAGAATTACCTGTATTGGTTGATAATTAAAGAAATAGATTGCTGATTAGAACTAGAAAATCCAATGTAGGCAACAGCTAGTATAAGAACCATAACCGCTTTAGAACGTTTCATCTTCTCGCCGACCTGGAATCGAATGAAACCGACATGATCCTAAATGCAAGGTATAAACTTAAACTAAAAGTTCCTTGTTTTGCTCTTCATCCCATTTCTAAAAACAAACCGATTTCTCGTACAAAGCCTCTAACAAGGTTGACAATTATATGCTTCTGTCTAGAAAACCCAGACTCGAGCTTACCATACTTTTTGGCTCTTTCAGAACTCTTTATCTGAGGTTCGACTAGGTGCAATCTAATTAAATTAGATTACATTTTCGTTTCCTTATATTTGTGTTCGGCCTCCATTGCCCACGTACTGTTGACGTTCATTTCAACCCATCACTGCGCGACATGCAGAATCCGTGTTTTATTAACGACTTCCTAGGCTGGTAGATGAGCTGGGGAAAAAATTCCCACAGAAATGATTTTCGTTTTATTTCAAAGTTCATGCCTTGTAGACGTCCCAGAAAAAAGTCACAAGGAATCCGGCTTGGGAAAAAGAATTTATGAAGGATTGAAATCCATAAATTCTCTCCTAGGGACTAAAAAATCAGAATCTTCATATTAACTTTTGACATGGAAAAATAATACTCAAAGAGATGATTTTTGTTTTATTTGAAATAACATGCCTAGTAGACTTCTCAGAAAAAAGTCTCAAGGAGTCCCATTCTGGAATTGTTTTTAATAAGAATTCAAGAAGACGGATGTATGACAGGTTTTTCACAATGCATATATTTCTTGCTATGTAAGGTATCAAATCATATGTTTTCCGGGTCACGAAGCCCAATCCAACTATTGTTTATCACATAGCAGTGATGGGGATTAGATGGCGAGACAATCTATTCGGAATGCGAGGTTTTTCAGAACCAATCAATTCAACGGTCG